ACTTTTAAAATAGGCAACATGACTCATCCACTACATTTACTGCATTTTTTTTATAGTGTTGACTTGTAATTTATAGAGCTTAACAGCCTAAAGCCACTGTTCATTTTCATTGTATGGAATAAAGATATTAATATTTTTGCATGTGTTTGGAGTGGCATGTTGGTGAGTAAATGACAATTATCATCTTTGGTAACTTATCCTTTTAAATCCTTTAAAGTGTTATAACCCCAATGAATTAGCAGGATTAGCCACCCCTGATTTAAGTGGCATGAGCGTGTTACATCCACTATTAAATCTTATTTTGGTCATGAACAAAAAGGTAACAAACAACTGTTGTTGCATCACATCACTGGTGATTTATTTACAACAAAAGTATACAAGTGTAAATGTGCAAATTTGAAATGAATGTTTTTGTGTTTTTATTTTTTCTAAAACGCATCAAAGACAGAAGGAGTGGGAGAAAGGATAAATGAATAAAGAAAAAGAGAGGATTGAACGAATAAAGCTGGTACTTTAACCATCCTATATTTTACAGACAACAAACCAAAGGAAGAGGACAGCAGCATTGTTGGGCCTGCCGTGGTACATGCGAGAGACTCCTTCAAAATTCATGAAGATATGTGAGGTAAGCTGAAACATGCAAGGCAAAACAAGGGAAAATTTAACATTAGATCTCGTAATTTGCAGGGATCTGGGGACTATATTTGTGTAATTGCTTTTAAGTAATGGTACCTTGTTTTGTTTACATTCTATAAAGCCCAGTGACCGTGAAGAGGATGTGATCAAGGGTGTGGTGATTGGAATCCTAGTGGTTGTGGAAAATGTGATGGAACCTCTCCCGGCGTTCTACAATGACGTTGCCGTGGCGATTGAGGAAGAAGTGGTAATTCGTCACCTGAGTGATATACCTAATGCTTTTCTGAACCTGATGGGCCTGGTGTACACATTAAACCTTGACTACCCAAAGGAATTAAAATTCACATTTGAAGTGATACAGCGCCTGTTTATTGGAGTTAGATCAGACTCTTGCACCGCAAGAGTTCACTCTTTGAAGAGCAAGTTACTGCGATAAAACAGAAAACAAACAAAATTTTATTTCCTTCTTGCTACTGTTTAATCATTGTACTGGTTTAAAGTTTAAGAGCATTGTTTTATATCTCATTGTTGTAAGTGGAACATTGGTATTCTTGAATTTTTTTCTCAAACTGACTGTTTTCTTGTTACCTTGTCCTGCTTCCTCTTTCCCTGTCATGTTTCTACGATTGGGAATTGAAGACAGTTTTTGAACAGTTTAATGTGAAGTTTTTTAACACAGCTTATTGTGAATTCATGTATACATGTTCCTGCAGTGAAAATATCTGATAATGACAAGGAGAGTTATTCGTTCTAAGTTGGGTCTGTGCATAGAGACGTTTGCAGGTGTTTGTGTGAGCTGTGTATATGTGAGGGTTTTTCTGTAATGTTTTTATATCTTTGCAAGATAATTCTTTGTGTCTGTGTTTATGGATGCAATGTATCTGTTTAAAAAATAAATGCTGAGAGATTCAATTTTGTAGTTGTTGATTTCATAAAAAATCTGGTTCCAGATAGATATCCAGAACTTTTTGTCAAAGCAATAAAGTCCAGTAAACTCAAATAGTTAAGTTATGAAAAAATTATAAAAAATTACTATTTTATGTCAGTTAGACTTGGTGGTAACACTTTATTTTGATGGTCCCCCTATAGATAGTCTGTTGACTATAAGTTACTTTGCAAGTGCATATCTACTTACTCTCATCAGGGTAGTATCTGTAGATTGTCTGTTAAACGTTCTGTAGCAATCATTACAATGTCTATAACATGTAAGCATCTATGAAGCATTTGGTCAGTAATGTGTTATCAATTTAGGTTGTAGGTGTTCAACAGCATATTAGCAGACATGCAACAAATCCTCAACAAGTTCTCAGTACCTTTATATAGCAAAGTACTTACCTTCATCCTCTGCACTTTCTAAGTTGCGTTTTTTGCGGGTGTTGTAATGTGTCATCTAATAATCAAAAAAAGTATAAATAAATTAAAAATCATATCACATAGCATGCAACCAATCAGTGTAGCAATCATTTCAGGGAGTGGCAAAATGTTCAAGACCATGGGCCAGGCATGGACTGCCTTAAAAACTTCTCTGACCAACTAGCAGTTAGTTACTTTTTGTTCTTAAATTTGACAAACGTTTTTTATGCAGTTGAGTTAAAGTTATGACCAGTCTTAAAATAATAATAATAATAATAATAATAGGTGACTAACTTTTAATACTATTGTAAGCAGTTTATGCAACAGGCCCCAGTCTTCCTGACGGATGATGATTAAGTGACCAAGTTAAATTTTTCCCCTGTCATTGTTATACTTCTGATATACATGTATATACTAAAATAATTAATCTTTTAGGCATTAAAAAGAAAAAAATCAAACAGACAAAAAGGTTTACTTTCCTTAGTGATCTGTTGTGTGACAAAAAAAAATAAAATACACAAATCTAGTTTACTACAAGTGACTACAATATAAGTTGAAATAGACCTACCACACTAATATACATGTTCTTTTTTATAGAAACCGTCAATAACGCTGATCGCTTTTCACTACTTGAAACAGGACTTCATAAACAGCTGTCAAATGTCATAACACGTTGGCTGAAAGTCAAAACTTAACCTAATAAAATACCTTTTTTTCCCCACAGCTGTTAGTTACGTCTGGAACGTTCGATCACACCATAGGGCAGGTCAACGTAACGCCGTCACGGAAGATCCACTGGGCCGCAAACCTATTAAGCAGTCTTCCTCAAGAGGGCGCTTGAGAAATGTTCTATCTGTGGTGCAGTCGGGACAGAAAAACTAATAAATATTGATACAAATA